TGTGCTAGGCGAGCACTCTACCCGAGCCACAACCCCAGCCCCGAATTCACCTTTTTTTAAAAAAAATTGTGATAGTTTATAGTACAGACTCTTTTTTGGGAGGTGGGTACCAGAGATTGAACTCAGGGGCACTCAGCCACTAAGCCACATCCCAAGCCCTATTTTGAATTTTATTTAGAGACAGAGTCTCACTGAGTTGCGTAGTGCCTTGCTTTTTGCTGAGGCTGGGTTTGAACTCTTAATCCTCCTGTCTTAGCTTCCCGAGCAGCTGGGATTACAGGTGTAAACCACCACAACTGGCTAAAGTATGGACTCTTTATCAGATTTCAGTTGTACAAGGTACAACTCCCAGCTTTGCCACTAACTGTGTGACTTTGGGCAAGTCGTTTGATGTACCTGAGTCTCAGTTTCCCCATCTCCAAAATAGGAATGATAATGGTGCTGTGAAGATTAAGCAAGTGTGTGAAAAGTGCTTAAAGGAATGACTGGTAACAGAGTAGAGTTATATGACTTCTTGCTATAATGATTATTTGTCATTCTTTCAACAAATGTTTCTCAAGTAGTTTTTATGTGTCAAACATTGTCATTGGCACTATAACAACGAATAAAAGGAACAAACATCTCAATTGTCATAGAGATTAAATCTAGTGAGAGACCATGACATGAAAAAACAAATATGTATGCCCAAGGGATAACTGTTATAAAGATTGAAAATGACAACAAGGACACAGAACAACAGGGAGACAAAAGTGTTTGTACACAGGGTTGTCAGGAAAAGTGATGGCAGGCAAGACAAAGGAATTGAAAAAGAAAGCCATGCACCTACCAACGAGAAGGAGCATATTCAAAAGTTAGAAGGCAGGAGGGTGCTAGACTAGCTTGCTAAAGTAGAGTGAACTGGGACCAGAGGGAAAGAAGAGGAGGTTAGTGGAGATAAACTGGGAAGTTTATGTTGGGACTTACAGGGCCATCCAGGACTTTGGATTTTATCCTCCCTGGTACAGAAGACCACCAGAGGGGCTTAACTTATGAAGAGGCTCACACGCGCTACAAGGTAGGAAGAGGTAAGCAGGAAGAGCAGATAAGCTCTGAAATAACCTGGGGAGAGATGACGGTGGTTTGAATTAGGGGAGGTGCTCAGGGAGGTGAGCAATGTACAGGGCATTGCGAGAGTGCCAACAGGATTTACTGATGAATTACATGAGCTACATAAAAATGACTCTGTGATTTAAGCTAATGGATGGTAAGATTTTCTATTTACTTGGATGGGGAAGATTATGGAAACTGAAGCTTGGTTTTCAACAAATCAAGTAATAAGTCTATTAAGATACCTTTAAATAGAGATGTCCAACAGGCAGGTAGATATATGATTTTGGAGTTTATTAGAGATTTAGCTGAGGTGTAATTTTGGAAGTCAAGGCTAATTTTTTAAAAAATCTTTTTTTTTGGTACTGAGGATTTAACTCTGGGGTGCTCAATCCTCTGGTGAGCTAAATCCTCAGCCCTTTTTATTTTTTTAAAGATAGGGGCTCGCTAAATTGCAGAGACTGGCTTCGAACTTGCAACCCTCCTGCCTCAGCCTCCTGAGTCGCTGGAATTACAGGAGTGCACCAACCACATCCAGCTACCTACACTTATTTCAAGCTATGTATTTGTTTAAAGTCAGCCAGGAGGGAGTGAAGTTTGGAGAGGATCTCATGAGTTTGGGGAAGACAAACTGAAATTAGCAAAGAAGCACACAACCACCCGTGGGTCAAGCAGGGGACTGAGGTCACAGGTTAAGACACTTAGTTGACAACTTATTTTCTTTGACGAGAAAACCCCCCAAAGAACTCTCTTACCCAAGATTTCAGTAATTGCTGTTAAAATGTATAACGAAACACGAACCTCCGGAGTGGAACCAGCTCTCCTAGCAGCTTAGCTTTTCAAAGCATAGACAGGGCTCTGATTGATCAAGTCGAGACGTTTCCCAGTAACTGCGCAGCTGGCAGACGCCGTCGCTCCTGATTGGGTCTTCTGAGAGGCTATAGGCGGGACTAGGAAACGGCGATGTGGGTTTGGACCAATGAGTGGACTCGCAGAGCGAGGGAAGGCGGTCTTATCACGTACTAAGTTCCAGGAAGTTGGTGTGACCTCTCCGCTGGGAAGACTCTCAGTCCCCTTTACCAGTGCTCCCGCCGAGACACTCACCTGGAACCGTGGCTCCATCGCTGCTGTAAGCCCGGATTTCCTGGCTTACATATCCCCTCGGGAGACAAAGTTCCAGGACTGGGCGACTGAAGCTTCAGCCGGTCCTGCGGGGCGGCCTGGGAAAAATGGGACAGCGCTCTCCGGACTAACGCCAACGCGCGCGAGGCTTCGAGTCCCGGAAGTCATAACTGTCCTGACCTTTTGGTCCGGAATGCGGCCGCGTGTTTTCTCCTCTGCGCTTGGAACTGCATAGTTCTTTGACCCCGCAGGTGCTTCTGTGTCGCAGTTTTCAGTCTTGTATTTCTCCTCATTTAACCTCATTGTCATTTCCCAGTTGCTGTCACTGTCGGAGTGACCCGGGCAGCATTTAGTAGGGCCAGGATTGGTCCTTTAAAGTAAAGCTCCTCAAACGCGAACAACGTCAGGTCGGGATTAGGTAGGTGATATTGGGAGAGGAATCCCAGATTGTGCGTTTCTAATCTATTCCCTTGATCCTGAACCAGAGTAGCAAGACAATAGGGAGATTGGAGAGGGGATAGATGTTGGCGTGGCAACCTTAAGTGTTCTTGTCCCGTAATCAAGGTAGGAGGAACCATATCCATCCACAGATTTGTCCCTGTTAATGGAAGGACCGTTTGAAGGAGACTCCCAACACGAGAATAGTTAGAAACGTTTTTGTCTTCCCTGTCCAACTACGTGCACTACACTTTTATGATGTTTTATAATTTTATGAATGTGAAGATTTGAGAACATTCAATTTAGATATAACTGCTAACTTTAACAACTTTTTTTAAAAAAATGATAATACACAGGTATTCATAATTATATCTTTTTTTTTACTTGGTGTTTTGATTGGGCATTTTTCATGCCATTATATAATCTACTTCTAACTTTTATTATGTAAAATTCTAAGCATAAACAAAGAGAATTTTACAGTGAAAATTTTGCAGTGCAATTCTCAAGAAAGGATTCCCCTTGTTCACTTAGCAATTCTGAAGACATTTTGGGTTATCACAGCTGGAAAGATGCTACTGGAATCTCCTATGTAAAGACAATGAAAGTTAATCAACTTCTTGCCATTCAGATGATATTCTTTTAAAGCAAAGATAAGGTTGATAAGGTTGCCAGGCGCAGTGGCACACACCTGTAATCCCAGCTGCTGGGGAGGCTGAGATAGGAGGATCCTGAGTTCAAAGCCAGCCTCAGCATACTTATGTAACTCAACTCCTACTAAGATATAGCACATTACTACCACTTCAGAAAAGTTCCTTCAAGCTTTTTCCTAGTCAGTTCATGCTCAACTTCCCACAAAGGCAACCACTGTTGTGATGTTTTGTCCCAGTCTCGATGGGCAAAAGGTGCTAAGTCAAGGAGAAATAAAGAATGTCCACATGGCTCTGCCATTTTCAATGCTTTTTTCACTCAAATCATTCAATACAATTTCACTCTATAGATTCTTAGTCAAGAAAAATGACAATCCTTAATGCTAGGCACTGCAATAGACAAAATCAATTCATAGCAAACAATTCTAGATAAATTCACAGCGAACAATTCTAGATTAATTAATTCTAAGCACTGAAAACACACTTAATCATGACAGGCTTATGACAGACATTTCCTCTGCGTGCTAAGTTCAAGTGTTAGATCAAAAGTCTCAAGCCTTAGGTTTTAAGTCCAGCAGATGCACACTCACTCAGTGTTGATCAGGTCAGGAACCAAGACAGGCTTCTCCTTAGGTGAAGCTGACCGCCAGTTGAGGAGATGGCCCTAAGGAGAAGTTGAGGCTCTCACCAGGGTCAAGATGTGGCTGTAGAATTTGAGAGCAGTGAGGAAGATGCAGAGGATCAGCAAACGATGAGAAGTGTTGGGATGTCAGTGCAAGTCCTCATCAGACTCTCAGCGTAATGGCATCAGTTTTGGCTGGCTGAATGTCTATTCATTTGCTCTTTTATACTAAATTTTGAGGCTTTTGACCCCCGCCCCCTTTCAGTCCTTAACAGCTGCCACTGGATTTCTCAATGACATTTACTGTGGGGTTCAAACAGCTGGTCTGGTGGTCCCCACCCTAATCTTTTCGCCTTTCCCTCTTATTGGGCACCTTTTCCTCTAAAAGGTGGAGGACAGCTTGCCTGAGGCTTCACTCTGAGCTAATCAGGGTGGTGAGAAATGACTTGTTTGTGCCTGAGGGCTATACAGGACGCTCCAGTAGGCATGCCTGGTGAGACTGCAGGTTTCAAACAGGAGTTCTTAAAATGGAGTGGCTTAGGATCAAGCCAAAGGCCACGCTCATATTCCCCTACCATAATTAGTTTTGTCTGGTCTAGAACTTAAGCTAGTTCAATCATACAGTAGGTAATTTTGTGTATACTTTAAGTATCATAAAGATACATCCATGTTCTTGTGTGTATAGGTAGTTTCTTTTGGTTGTGGTTGTTTAGTTTTCCAGGTACAAACACATGGGTTTTCCAGAAACCTCCGAGATGCAAGTGGTCCAGTTGAAACAGAGCTTCTGACTTTCCTCAGGCTGGAGAATGGAATCTAATCAACTACCTTCATGCCCAGACCTGTGACTCGGCCCAGAAACCCACAACCTGGGCTGTGCAACACGTTGATCCAACGACATAAATTTCGTTTTTACCGTTCAGAAGGCTCCCAATCACAGACCACCACCAGTTACCCACGCTTTCAGAAAGATTTAATTTACTTCATAGATAACCCACCCAGGAAAGACTTCATTCGCGACATCTCCGCACTACTGTGCGCCAGCTTCCGGCGTGGATTACACAGAGGCGCGCGTCAATCAGCGTCTGCGGGGCCGACCCTGGGCCGAGTGGCTTCCCATAATGCCGCGTCCCGGAAATTCCGGCTTTCTAAGGGGCACGGTGGATTCGGCTCTGTTGCTCTCTATTCGTCACCGGGAGGAAGACGGAGCCGGCCGCCTAGCCCAAAGGCCCATTAGGGGATGCAGTTATGGGAGCTGTCACCGTGGGTAAGTTCTGCTTTCACAGACTTGCGATCACCACTCTTCTGAGCTCCTGCGCTCGTAGAGCACGAATTTTTCCGCCCCAACCGTGTTCTCCCTGGAAGGGCCCCTTCTAAGCGTGTTACTCTAACCTTTCCGGTGCCACGTTCTCATTGGCTTGATGTCCTGTCAGTCCCAGGAGCTGGCCAATGAATTCTCGGTGTTGGCGTCCTTCTCGACCCCGGACCCCAAGATTCCCGGTGGGTGCGGAACTGTTGGAAAGGGTGGGATGGGAAGGGAAGGAGGCGTGGCGGCCTCTGGGAATGTCGGTGGGCGGCTGGCTAGCTACCGGGAGCGCCCGATGAGTGGGGTTGGGTTTGTAGCTGCGTCCTTGTGCTTAGTAAGAATAGGATCTGTCTCCAAACCAGATGCGTATTCCCAGGGCAGGACTAGTTTAGGCAAAACTTGAAAGCCACGTTTAAGAAAGATCTGCTGACAGGGGTTTCCACACACATTTGTAATGGAAGCGAGTAGGCAGGGGAAGACTGGGAGGGCAGAAGAAGGGAATTGGATCAATATGAGATGTGGTAGAGCTAGTGCTGATTTAAAATTTTCATGCGGTTCTGTAAAGAGTAAGTTGACTAAGATGCTAATTCTTATCCTGAGACTCAACTGAAAACATCTAGTAGCTTTATTGTTGTTTTATAGCTGATGATACAGTACTTACTTTTCATGTCTCTTTAGTTGCCTTTGTAAGTGTCAAAACTTTACTGGACCTCTTTAGTGACCTCCTATGTTCTTTACCTGCAGCAATTAGGATTCGCCTTTCAAGTGTTCCTTTGGAGTGTGAGCTACTGCAACCAGATTTACTAGTGCTGTCTTCACTACTGCAGACTTCTGACTTCTTCGTTCTTCTTCCTTTTCTTTTTCACCAGAACTTGTTTGCTCCATTCTTTTGTACCTACCTTTTGCACATTGTAATCATCCTTTATGCCTCAGGTACTCTTGTTTTTCCATTTTAACAAAAAGAAGTATTTTACGAGGAACTGCTGTATACTAGCACTGGTGGTAGATGCTACAGGCAACTCAGAAATAATGCCTAGAACCGTTTTTTCCTACAATTTCTTATTGCTGAGAGAAAAATGACATGTTCAGGTTAAAGATTTAAGAAACAGCCCACGATAAGTATCTGATAAAGGGACAAGATGAATAGTGCACACTAAAATAGTGGGGAAGTTTAGTGGAGAGGTTTATTTAAAGTGGAAGTGTTGACTAAGACTTTATTGAAAAGGAAAGCTTGGAGATTTTGGATGGATGGAGAAAACTCAGAAATCAAAGGCACAGAGGCCGGGACAAGGTATTTGGAGTAGAGGCTACTGAAGAGTTGGATTTGATTGGAAGGGAAAGAATGGTGATCTTAGAACCCAAACATCTGTGTTTTAGTTACATTTCTGTAACCCTGTGTTCTTTCACTATTTTGTTTCTGAGTTTCTTCCTTTAGTGAAACCCATTTAAAGGGTTGTGAAATCATATGTAAAAATATTTATGAAGTACTTTGAGACTTGGAAAATCAAAGGCACCATGTAATTATTACTTCAAGTAGTTTTTTATTTTATTTTTTTTTTTGGTGAAAGAGTAATGAGAGTCAGTATTGCCAAAGCATTTGGGCCAAACTATGAAGGACTGTGATGGTAAAGTTGAGGAATATGGACTTGGAAATTATTAAAGGCTTTCAGTGAAGAGAGTGATGTGATTAAAAATGGCATTATTGGAAAACGAATCTGGTACTGGAATGTAGCACAGATTAGAGGGAGTTGGATTGGAGGCCAGAACTTGGGTACTATTTTTTTCTAAGATCTACAATTAAATGTTTATCTTTAAGGTAAGGAAAAGTACATAAAATATTCCTCCTTTGTATGATCTTCGTATACTTTTGTGTTCCTTTGTTCATTTATTTATTTTCTAAGCATTTTAAGTTATACTTGGAAAAGATAATTATCAATTGTACTTTCAGTTTTTATATAAATCTCTTTGAATTACCTCCAGTTACACTAAGGCACCAAAGCCAAAAAGGGGAATATTTCTAAGACACTAAGACAGTTAGAGCACCTGCTTTGCATGTATTAGACTCTGGGTTTTTGCGCGCGCGCGCACACACACACACACACACACACACACAGTAACAGTGTTTTCTCTAGGCCCTAATTTGCCCTAATCTCCACTTACACAATCAGAATTTTAATGAACATTTCAGGTACAATACCTTATAATCATTTAAGGATTTGTCACTGACAAATTATTCTAATGCACAAAAAATGGCTTTTCAAAATTATTAATAGTTTTAAAGTTAGATATGTATTTTTTCAGCATTTTTCCTGTTTTCTAATTTTGAATTGTTGATTAAAATAGTGAAGATTTGATGTACAGTCATATTTGTATTCCAAAGTGATTTTGGCAATACTATAGTAATATAAATAGTTGATAACGAAGTTGTAATCAATTTTTTGTTAGCTGATACTATTGGAAATTCTGGTGAAGAAAAATGCATCACTTTTTATATGTAGGTTTGAAATTATTTTGTAAAATTTCTAACTATTTAGGAAGTTGCTTTCAGAATTACTTTTTAAGGAAATTTTTATATTTTTGCTGTACCAAGGATTGAACCGAGGACCTCCTGCATGCTAGGCAAGTGTTCTACCACTGAGCTCCATCCCAAACCCTTTTTATTTCTGAGATATGGTCTCACTTAGCAGGCTGCCCTTGAACTTGTGATCCTCTTGTCTAAGCCTCCTGAGTGGTTGGGATTACAGGTGTGCACTGTCATGCCCAGTTCAGAGTTTTTAATTGATGTGGTAAGGAGTTTGATTTCTCTTAGTGTCAAGTGTTGAGACTTTTCAAGATCTGTGTATGAAGACTGAGGCTCTCCCCTGATATTTAGATTTATTGAAAGCCTCTTACCTTTCTTTGCTAAGAATCATTTTCCCAAGGTATGAAGACAGGGAAGTACTATCCCATCTACCTCAAGTTCTTATTAAAAATTAGATGATTAAAAAAAAGCAATTAAAAAAAATTAGATGATATATGTCAATAGTCTTTGTAAATTATAAAATGTGATAGACATGCAAGAAATTATATATGGCTTAGCTGTATTTCCTTTTCCTAGAGCAATATAAAACATTTTTTTTCTTGGTCAATCTAACTGTATCTTGTTTTCTAGATTGTTATTTTGTGTCAGTAAATAATCCGTAAAGTGCCAGCATGGGAAAGAAACGGACAAAGGGAAAAACTGTTCCAACTGATGATTCCTCTGAATCTTCAGGTATATTGCACTAATTGAATCTTTAACATTTATATTCCTAAAAGGATATTTGTTTTCCTAAAAGGATTTTAACATATAAAAGTAGGATCAAATGTATATTATTGTTATGTAATCTGCATTTTAATGTTTACATTTGTATGTAATTTACTAGTCTTCTATGGCATTTTAGTAGTGTATAATTCCATTGATGTAAAGGGTCACAAGTGCGTATTTCATTAACTTAGCTAATTCTCTACTGTTACAGACTTAGGTAAATTTTCACTTTTTAGTGTTAAGAATGGGATAATAATGAACATCTTTGTTGTTAAATATCTGTGCACATCCAATTATTTTCTTAAGTAGAACTGTTTTGAATCAAAGGGTATAATGATTTTCAAGGCTCTTTTGATTGGGTTGCTAAATTGCTATTCAGAAATGTTTTACTAATTTATAGGCCCCCTAGCAGCATAATCAAGTGCCCATTTACTTGAACCTTCACCAGTGTTGGTTATGATTATTTGTAAAAATCTTTGCTAATTTGATAGTTCAAAAGGGTAGCTTTTTTTTTTTTTTTTTTTTTTTTTTTTTAATTTGACTATTGGGATTCAGCAGTTGTCTTGCATGATCTCATTTGTTTTTACTTTTCTCTTGGTGCACATTCATTGAGCATAAAGCCAGTTGTGCTACTTAAGTAATTTCTAAAACTTCAGTGTTCCTGAAACAATGAAAACCCTTTAGAATGGCTTGTAAAGCCCTTTATTCACTTGACCCCAATATAGTTTTTAGTTTCAGGGTCCAGTTGCTTATTTTTGTACCTTCTGAGACCCTGCCATTCAGGGAGACAGCATGAACATTTGCAGGTTCTTATTCATAGGATTGTTCTCAGATTGCCCTTTACTCCCTGAGGTCATAGTTTGAAGTGTGAACTGTGAAGTCAGAAACTTTCTTCCAAGTTCTGGCATAGCCTGTCAGTAGTTATATGACCTTGGATTCTAAATATTAGTTTTTCATTTGTCATTGGAAATACTAATGTGCTCTTTCTGGGTGATTGTGAGGATTAAGGAAGTATTATATGTAAAACACTTAGCATATATTATTAACACAGCTTATAGGATGTGTTAATCAATATTGGAGATTTTTTTATTACTATTAATATAGTCCAGGAATGTATATGTTATCTCCCTTGTGAAAAATTTGGAGTCTTTAGCTGCCTCCTCTTGTGATGCTATAGGATGTTTTAGAAATTCTTACAGATTAATTTATTTAGCTTCTGCTCCTACCAGAGTGTGACCTATTCAAAAGAGAAGAGGTGTGGCTTGCTTGCTTTTAGGTTGCCTAGTATCTAGTGTAGTGCCTGGCCTGAAGTAGGTGTAGTGTTGACTGAATGAGGGACTTTCTCTCCAACTTCTTTAATATAAAGAAAACAAATATTTAAAGGACCTTCCTTTAAAGAAAATAGATAAATTGAAGTGAATTTTTGGGGATGGTAGTGATTATATTTAGAACTTTAAAAATGAAAATTTCAAATTTGAATAAGATCTCTTTCTTGGATGCTTGGGGGTAGAACACTTGTCTAGGCACGAGACCCTAAGTTCGCTTCCCAGCATGACCACCAAAAAGAAAAAAGGAAAAAAAAGAAAAAGTCATGTAATTATCATAATAGCCAAATATCAAGCAAGATTTTAGGGTATTTGATTGTTTATAGGGTTAATTCAGTTTTGAAGTTTGAATGAAAAATTAAGTTTTGACATTAATAAAAATCTATTTTTGGCCTCATTTTTTAATTATTTGTTTTAATAGAACCTATATGTAGACACATTAGAAAAGGATTGGAACAAGGTAATTTGAAAAAGGCTTTAGTCAATGTGGAATGGAATATTTGTCAAGACTGTAAGACAGACAACAAAGTAAAAGATAAATCTGAAGAAGAAACAGAAGAAAATCCGTCAGTTTGGCTATGTCTTAAATGTGGCCATCAGGTAATGCTTAGATTTTATCAATTTGGGATTTTAGAAAACTCTTCAAACTTGTTTTAGAAGGTATCATCTAAAAGTACTGTTATGGCTAACTAGGATAGACGCATACTCTCAGGGAAATGATTTTGAGAGTAAGATTTGTATGTTGGCAGTTTACTGGTTAGTATTCTCAAGTATCACACTATTAAAAGAGTTAGGAAGCAGGAATAAGCAGAGGGAAAAGTTAAATTAAACTGTTGCAACAGGTCCTCCGCTGATTATATAGTGAACTCTGGCCTTTGAGCAATATCCTAAATTAAGGCAAGGAGCCTTTATACCCATACAGAGACCTTCATTACTGGTGGCTTGTCCCTAGAGAGTATCATGGGCAGGTTCACTCCCTTTTGTTGAGGATAATCCTTGGGTTAGATGGACTTTGCTGTGAGTTCTCATCAGGCCACATTCCAGGCAGCTGGGGGAATGAATACTTTGGTCTTGAAGGTGTGTATGTGACTGCCTGGTGCATGACTGTCTGTTACACCTGCTCACATCTGTTGTCGTGGTACTAAACATCTGGCTACCAGTCAGTCCTTAGTGATGGCAGGTTATGTGTATAGGAATTTGGACTACTAGGCAGACTTGTCAGGAAGGTAAAGATGGGGCAGAGAGCCAATTTGCTTTTCCATATTTTATAAGTTGAAAATTTCCCATTGAAATATTTACTGATTCACATATAATCATAAGAAATAATAGATATTATTAAGCATTTTGCCAATTTCTCCCACAGATAAATTTTATAAAACTACTGTGATTTTAGCTGATAGCTGATATGTAAACAGGAGATTGTGGGAATTAACATTGGAAAAATAGGTTGGGGTCAGAGGGTTATCAGTTCCTTAGGAGATTAAGAGAGCAATTTGTAATCATTGAATTGTTTATGAATGGAGCTTTGTTTTAGGAACATTGAACTGAAAAAATTAAGTATGTTATGAGGGATACTAAAGTGAAGAGAATATTTGGGAGACTCTTAAGGGTCTAAACCAGATATGACGATTTGTGTTAGTGTGGTTTATTTGCAACAGGAAAGACAAATTAGAGAGGAAGAGTACTTTTAATGCATGGTTTTCTAGATACCATTTCCGTAAATGTCCTAAGTTGCTTATGGATATTTAATTTTTAACAAAATTCAGATTTCTAGAGCTTAACATTTTATTTTCAAAATTGTAAAAATGATATAAGTTCTTGAGACACTTCTGTATTCATGATCAATTATGAATTCTTCTCTTTTCATGAATTTTTGTAACTTTGAGGTTTATGATTTTGTTTCTCTAGGGCTGTGGCAGAAATTCTCAGGAACAGCATGCTTTGAAGCACTATATGATACCAAGATCAGAGCCACACTGTCTGGTTCTCAGTTTGGACAACTGGAGTGTGTGGTGAGTGTTAGTTCCTATGCCTAGTATGTGAAATACTGGAAAATGAAATTGTTTGAAGATGTTTAAGGAGCATGAAAGGTAAACTTCTTGCAGTATTTACCATCACAGAAGGCTAGAGAAGGTGATGTGATGTTATGAGACGCTTTTGCTACTTTTGTATACACATAAAATTGCAGCATATAGAAAATATAGAGATCTTTGTTCTTTTGATTTCTTGCTCATGAGATTATAAAATATATGGTGGGTTGTCTTTAGTTTAAAGGTTACAGTGCTAAGAACAAATTTCAGATAAATGAGAATAAAGTAAAAGTTTGACCATGAGTTGTATGAAAATAAATGTCAGACTGGCATGTATTTTTCTGTGTTTTTACATCATTAAAACAGATTTTTACTTAAAACTATTTTCACAACAGTGTTCAGTGAGCATCATTTGTCAGTTGTAAAATTTATTTTGTTGGTGTAGGTCTGTAGTTTAAATTATGTGTATCAATTAAATTATGTGGGGCTAGGGTTGTGGTTCAGTTGTAGAGTGCTCACCTAACACGTGTAAGGCACTGGATTCTATCTTCCGCACCACATAAAAATAACTAAAATAGGGCTGGGATTGTGGCTCAGTGATAGATCAACTTGCCTCGCAAATGTGAGGCACTGGGTTTGATCCCAGCACCAAATTAAATAAATAAATAAATAGATAAATATCGTGTCCATCTACAATCAAAACTATAAATAAACACATAAATACATAAATAAATACATAAATAAAACAAAGGCATTGTGTCCAACTACAACTAAACAATATTAAAAAAAATAAATAATGTGTATTTACATTATGTGTAGAAATGACTTGACTTTAATATGATAACCAGTCCAGTAAAATGTCTGGAGTTTTTAACAGTATGTATATGTAGCATAGTTTTAGCTAACTATTAAAAGAAATCTTATTACTAGTTAGCTAGAACTATGCTACATATATAATATGCATAGTTTTCATTGGGCACAATGGCACAGGTCTGTAATCCCAACAGTTTGGGAGACTGAGGCAAGAGGATTACGAGCTCAAGGCCAGCCTCAGAATTTAGTGAAACCCTGTCTCAAAATAGGGCTGGAGGTGTGGCATAGTGGTAGAGCACCCTAAGTTCAATTCTCAGCGCCACACAGACACATGCATGGTCTTTATAGTCTTCAGGAAAAGATTTTATGCATTTATGTGTATGTAGTACTAGAGAGCAAACCGTGGGTACTCTATCACTGACCTCCATTCTCAGCCACTTTTTCTTAAATTTTATTTTGAGATAGGGTCTCACTAGATGCCCTTGAACTTGGGGATCCTCTTGCGTCTGCCTCCCAAGTCCCTTGTGCCACCAAACCCAGCTTAGAAAACAGAATTTTTGTTTTCAGTTGTTTTAATAGAATAATTTGACATTACATATTTTGGGTTTCAGGAATTGTCATCTGGCTCTCCTTTTTTTGCTTGTCAATTTATCATTTTTCTTCTGTAATCTTTTTGGACACAGGTGTTACCTCTGTGATAATGAAGTCCAGTATAGTAGTTCAAACCGATTGGGCCAAGTGGTTGATTATGTTAGAAAACAAGCTGGTACTGTAACTCCCAAGCCAGGTAAAATAATTTGTTTCTTAATAGATACTATAATGTTGATTTATATATCTGCTGATATTTAGACTTATTTATTATGCTACCTGGTATTACATGCAGCTGAATAATGGTTGGTTGTGATTGACTTTAAAACTCTGAAACTATTTTTGATATAGAATGTAAAATGTTGAAAAATTATGCCATTATGAGGTATTAGAATGAGAAGCATTATAGTGTTGTGAGAAATGAGTAGTTATATGTGATGACAGTCTAGATGGAGACTTTGACTGTGGGGTTACTATTGATCTGTATTTAGGTGGTATACTTTTAACAAAGTTATAGTGGGTCCTGAAATAAAGACTTGTAACTCCTTCTAATGGTCATATACTTCTCAGTTCTTCATGATAATTAAATGATTTGATATACAGCATTTACTTTAGGCTTATGTTTTTGATAGTTGTGGTCACAAATTTTTTTGTCAGATCTAGACAAGGATAGAGAATTGTTTTTGAAAATTGATTTTTGGCCCCCGGAATTGTTTGATTTTAAGCATTAACTAATAAATCTAGGTAAATTACCCTAAAAAGAAGAATGAATAAACAAATTTCAGAAGAGATATAAGCATTTGTTTGATAAATGAAACCAAACAATATACATTTTCATATAAACTTTCTCCTTTTTATTACATAAGAATTCTCTACAAATGAACATTTCTTACCTGTGAAATTACAATAAAAAACAAACAAGTAAAGAATGTAGACATAAAATAAAATTTTAAAATTGGTGACAATGGCATTAGGTAAAAGTCACCAATTCTAATGCTCTGTTTCAAGTATAACTTTGAATGTGATATGGATATTACATATTTTGCCTTATTTTTTTGCTTCTTTTTTTTTTTTTTTTTAAGCAGACAGGGATAATGGAAACATTGAACTTGAAAACAAAAAATTAGAAAAAGAGAGTAAAAATGAACAAGAAAGAGAAAAGAAGGAAAACATGACTAAAGAAAATCCACCCATGAATTCTTCCCAAATAACCGTGAAAGGACTCAGTAATTTGGGAAATACATGTTTCTTCAATGCAGTTATGCAGGTGACAGTGTCATACCCCCCCACCCTGCCCTTTTGAAATATAGGGTCTGTTACTTATAGTATCAACTTTTTCCCCATGAAATTTATTTCTATGCATTCAACATAACTCAAGTAATTGTTTATTGCATGTGAGTAAACCATAGTAGTGAGCACTGGGAGTGATGGGGTTTTAAAGCAATTATGGCTTCTGCCTATTGGAGCTTGCATTTGGTCAGGGAAGCCCAGGATAATTTCTACAAAAACAAAAATGTAATTAAAAGTGGTGGTGAGAAAATTGTGATGGTAGTGTAGGATAGGTACTTCTAACCAGGTGATGAAGGAGAATGTCCCTCTGAAGTGATGAAGAAGCTCAGAATTGGGTTTTAGCCAGAGTCGGGGAAAGAACAGGTCATGACTTTTTATTTCAGTATTGGTTTTGATTTCATGTTTTGGTAGAATGCACACTTAAGAAATTTTGAATGAATTAATTTGCCTTTATGTAATTTCCCTTTTCCATCCTTCATTCTAGAATTTGTCACAAACACCAGTGCTTAGAGAGTTACTGAAAGAAGTGAAAATGTCTGGAACAATTGTAAAAATTGAACCACCTGATTTAGCACTAACAGTATGTACTTTAAAAAAACTTTTATATAAATTTCCTCTGTGAATATCTATATTCTGAACTGTTTTCAAAGAAAACAGTTTTCTACATTACTTCTTTGTTTTTGCTTTTTTAAAATTTTGTACTTTTTTTTTTTTTTTCCATGGTACTGGGAATTGAACCTAGGGCCTTGCACATGCTGCCACTGAGCAACATCCCCAGCCCTTTTGTTTTTATTTTATACTACTAAATTAAACATGAACAGGCTAATGGAATTTATGAGGAGCCTTTACATTTGTTTGCTTTGTGAGCTAGTGCTCTGCTTCACTTTTGGCAATGTTGATATTTGTGAAACTCTAGGCCTGCATTTTTGTTCTTAATGTCTTTTTTTATCCTACCCCCTCTTGGTACTAGGACTCAAACCCAGAGCCTCACACATGCTAGACAGATTTTTTTCCACTGAACTATACCTCCAGCCCTTGTTTTTAACATCTTTTAAAGTGACTTGTAGCCAAATGAATTCATTTTTATTATTTACATTTTGCTTTAGCTTTTTCAGTTCCTTGGTAGTAACTTCCTGATAGTCTAAAACTAAAATAGAGCTGAATTCTTCATAAGATAGTCTTTTACCATAGAGTTTATTTTATCTTTGTGTGTGGGGTGTGTGTGTGTGTGTGTGTGTGTGTGTGTGTATGTGTGTGTGTGTGTGTTAGTTAGTGGGGATTGAACCTCGGAGCACTCTATCATTGAGTGAAATCCCCATCCCTTTTATTTTTCATTTTGAGTCAGGGTCTCCTTAAGTCGCCTAGGTTGGCCTCAAACTTGCAGTCTTTCTGCCTTAGTTTTCTGAGTCTCTCGAATTACAGGCATGTACCACTGTACCTGGCATGTTTCTGTATCTTTTTATATAATTTTCAAACTTAAATAGGGCAGCTCTATCAGGAACATTGGTAATATATGTTAACTAGTTACATTTGGGTAAAGTAAGTGATTCCAAAATTTGACTGAAAAATGTAATTTTTATTTCCATATTTAGGAACCCTTAGAAGTAAACCTTGAGCCTCCAGGTCCTCTAACTTTAGCCATGAGCCAGTTTCTTAATGAGATGCAAGAGACCAAAAAGGGAATTGTGACACCTAAAGAACTCTTTGCTCAGGTCTGTAAAAAGTGAGTATCCACTTGATTGTGCCTTTAATGCATCAGTAAAATGCTGAGAAATAATTTAAAAAGTTAATGGTGTTAGAGTCAACTCAGTAAATATATATACTAAGTATAATTTATTTCATTTGTATTTAAAGAATTGTACTTAATGTGATAATTACATCTGCCAAGGGCATTATTAGACTAAACAGGAATTTTGAGAAAACTGGGACACCCTAATATTAAGATAGGATCCTAAGGTCTCTTAAAAATAGCTTCATGTTTTAATTGACTCATTGTTGCTTTTCTTTTTCTTTCTTCTTTTTTCTTTTTCTGTAGAGCAGTGCGGTTTAAGGGCTACCAGCAGCAAGACAGCCAGGAGCTACTTCGCTATTTACTGGATGGGATGCGAGCAGAAGAACACCAAGTTAGCATATTATTACCACCATATTTTATAATCCCATCTCATGAGCTTGTCTGCTATTTGCTATTTAAATGTTATTAAGCAGTGGAAGCTAGTCATTGAAGCTATTGTACTTTTAAATTTTTTTTCTGTACTGGCCTTTTTCAACTAATGTTTTCTTCATTACAATAGATCAAGAGAATTAGAAATGATTCTCCTTTTCATAATGCTTTAGTTTACCTGATTTGGTTTACAGCAACATTGTTCTTTAAGGGTCCTATTTTACTAGCCTCTACCAACTGATATTTTTCCCAACCAGTTCCCAGTTGCAGCATATCTTTCTTCTTTTTCCGAGTGTGATTTAGAGCAGTTTTTTGAATGTAAGAAGCATTTTCATTTTATAAAACTTAAGGAACATTTGTTGCATTTAGAAAATTTTGTCTGTTTCCAGGATGTAAAATAATGTATTTGGTGATGTGAATATAATTAATAAAATATCACAATGGTGATAGTAACCATAATAGCAACTAATACTAGAGCTACACTTAGTGGAGCACTGTTGTCTGTAGTTCTCACAACCAATCGGTGGAGTAGGTCCTCTTACTATTTTCTCATTCCATAATACTGAATCTAGTGTATAGAGAAGTTTGGTACTTAGTTCAAGGTCTCAGCCTGTAATGGCAGAGCTGAACATCTAGTTCTGGAGTCAGTTCCTATAGCTCTCATGCAAACACTCTTTTTCGAGGATAAGACATTTCAATGTGTTTCCTAAGGAAGTGGGCATGCTTTGAAAAGCTTTGGTTTACATAGATTTAAGATCTTGAAATGATAAGATAGTACCTTTTTTCTGGTTATTGATTGTGTTAGAGTCATAATTCTTTTTAGCTCCTTGAATTAATTTTGAAAATGTGATTTTGGAAGTATTAATTTTTATTTCAGTAAATCTGGGGAGCTACATCTTGATCCTTTCTTGATTACATATTTTCTAAGGAAATGAACTTTAAAATTTAATAGTATATATATATCCATTTTATTACTTTTAGAGAGTGAGTAAAGGAATTCTTAAAGCATTTGGTAATTCTACTGAAAAATTGGATGAAGAACTAAAAAATAAAGTTAAAGGTAATGTCTAATTTTTTGAACTAAAACACTTTAGTTGAATTCCTCTGTACCTTAGGACAAGATTGCCAGCACTTGTATTTCAAATCCTCAATTATTAACGTATAATTTCTCTACATCACTGTTGATTTTTAAAAATTATTTAGTACTCCATAGGTGAATATTTAAAAAAATTAACTTCTGGTTTATTCTGTATGCATTATTATAGTGAAATTTATAAAGATTGAACTAAGATGATGTCACAGTCTTGTTTTTAAAAAACTTAGAAATATAATTAACAGTAAATAATGAATCACACTAATATGAGTTGTCAGTAGCTGATTATTAATCATAGAGCCAACTTAGATTTTATTGTTGGGTGACATATAAAGATTTAGGACAGATATGTCCAGTAGATCTTACTGTGGTGATGGAACTCTTCCACATGCTGTCCTGTGTAGATGCTGCTAGCCACGTGTGGCTCTGGAGCTCTTGAAATCTGAATGGTGAAACTGAAGAACTGAATTGATATTTAGTTTTAATTAAATTTAAATGGCCAAAAGTGACTAAGGGGTACCGTATTATAAAGTTGTGGTTCCAATCAACTGTTGATAATTCTACCTTTTTGGTACCCTAGAGAGCCTGGCCAGTAGTAGAGAATTGTGGCTCCTGTGTCCATTTATTATAAAAGGATGTTTTTATATCAGTGGAAACTTATCATTTGAATAATACATATAAATTTTATATATTTGGAAAATGAGTGATTAGGTAATAAAATTATGTCACCTTACATTAAGCGTGTCAAGATTCTTTCTGGGAACTTAGAAAAATCAAAAGGAAGATTTCATCTGAAATATTTTCCTGAGTTTTTTATTTTTAATTATAAAAGTAGTTTTAGAGTTTACAGAGTAAGTTACATGCATTTTGTCTCCAAGTTTGGTACCAGTGTCTTTATTAGAAAATCAGTGAATGTTAGAGCTAGACATTCATCCTCCTCTGATCTGCTCATTTTACTATTGGAGGAGGTATTAGTATATAGAAAGTCTCACGACTTGCACTATTTGGTTCACACTAAGAGATCATCGATAAGAACATTTCTTTTCTTAATTCATAAAAGGTGATTGTGTTCAGTTGTGTTATGTCTAGAGGCAGAGTATATGTAGCTGCTGACTTCTGTAGTATAAAGATAAATAATGCTAATTATGAATGGAGAAAAATTATTGGATAAGAAATGAAAAATTTTAGAGTTAGGTAAGTAAATAGTTTTACCTTTTCTTATTCAAGTAATTACATAAAGTAATTATAAACTTTTTTCCTACAGATTATGAAAAGAAAAAATCAATACCAAGTTTTGTGGACCGTATCTTTGGTGGTGAACTGACTAGTACAATCATGTGTGATGAGTGCAGCACTGTAAGTGGATATAGTGTGGGCTGCATGTATTCATTAATGTTTCCTGAAAACAGTTTATTGTTCCCTTCAAAAAAGGAAATATCTAACTTCATAGAATATTCTTTGTTGAACTATCCATATGTGTATGGTTTTTTGCTGGAAAATTTTAGCACTTCTAAAATTTGAAGTTGCTTTAATCTTTCAATTTATTTACCCTAATCTGAAGTCCTCAAAATTGTGTATTTTTTTCATTTCAAATTTTCATAACCCTTTATTAAAACCTACTTCCTCTTCACCCAAATGGGGAGGATCTTAATATGTAATGTTTAATGTGAATTTCTTCCTTCCTTTTACATTTTCTTTTTTGTTTGGTTAAGGTTTCTTTGGTTCATGAATCTTTCCTTGATTTGTCTCTCCCAGTTTTAGATGATCAGGTAAGACTATGAAATTTATTTTGTTGAAGTAGATTTTTTTTTTGTTTCTGTTAGATTTTTTATGGGGAAAAAAACCTTGTCACCTTTTTCAAATTTATTATTACTAGTCCATGAAGAAGTTTTTCTTAAATTTACTTGCAATAGAATAAATTTTCAGATTTGAATCAAGAATGGGATATATTTTTCTTTTAAGAAAGAAAGGGTGATATGTATATAATTCTTCATAGGTAATTAACTTGATTGCTTTACCCATAGAGAAGTATTTTCCTCCCATTAAAATTATTATTTATTATTTAAGGCTAACCACAGATCCATTGCAGTCTTATGTACATAAATATTAAATAGATGATATTATCTCAATTTTAAGCCTTATTAGTTTGGCTTCCTTTAAGTGGTTGTAGGGAAAAGGACACATTTCATGAATGTGGGATAAATCGTTCAACTTCCTGTGAAGTAGGGATCCCTTGCCTCATTACTTAGTGGTTAAAGTCACACCACACTTACTTTATTCTCTTTTTCTGTAAAACTATCATTTACATACAAGGAAAGAAAAGAATTAAAAGAAGTACCTGCAGTTTGATACATAAATCATTTATGAATAGAAAAGACATTTAGAAATGGACTCATTTACAATGTGATACAGCATGTAGTTAGTAACATCCATTGTATTCCTTTCTATTACACTTAGATGTGAAGTTCCTTTTTTGCTGTTTTATTTGCTTTCTTTCTCAGTATGTGAAGATTGCTTTCTAGTAAGTAAGATGAATGCATTTTGTCCTAGGCATGTTTTCAAATATTGTGGAAGTAAAACTAATATAAAATAGAAGTAAAAAAATTTTGGGTAATATGAATTTTCTTTCAACCACCAGGTGGATATAAAGTTTTGGTATTAACCAATATTTTCTCCGTATTTTAAGAGTGGTAAGAAAAGTATAAATGATAAAAATCTGAAAAAGACAATGGAGGATGAAGATAAAGACAGCGAGGAAGAAAAAGATAATGACAGTTACATAAAAGAGAGGCATGATATTCCTTCTGGAACAAGTAAGCACTTACAGAAAAAAGCAAAGAAGCAAGCCAAAAAGCAAGCCAAGGTGTGTAACTGGAAAAAGCATGCTTTTCTTATTTTACATTCTGAACTATTGAGTTGTCTGAATTTGACAATTATAGAATTAGCTCATTTAGTATTATCTGCAGGGAAATTGCTTTGAGTGTATGTGAAGAAAAGTTGCGTTTCTTTTTTTAATCTGGCATCATGTGTGATAACTGTTTTTAATAAACTTAGTTCATTTTCAACTTAGTTTTTTGAGTTGTTAACACTTGACATTTACAAATTTAAAAATATATAAAGATATACAGTAACTTAAGTCACCTACTATCATTTTATGACATAGATAACTACTGTATTTAGTTTTCCATGTACTCTTCTGGAATTTGTTTTGGAAAATATAAGGAAATACAAATATATTAGAAACTTTATTTTTTTTTTTTTACTAAAAACACTGTTCTGATCCTGTTTTTTGTTTGCTTATATACCTACTTAGATTTTTGGATGCCATTTCATTTCAGGATAGAAAGTGTCTTCATTTTTTTTCCCTGCTGCATTATAGTTGTTTCATGGATGTACTATAATTCATTTAGCTGTTTCTCTGTTGATTTTGGTTGTTTTTAGTATTTGCTATTTTGGTCATTGCTGTAGTGAATAACCCTGTACTTATATCACCTTTAGGGTAAATTTTGAGAAGAAGGATTACATTTGTAGTTTCAATAGATATTTTCTAGTTGTCTTCCACAAAGGTACCAGTTTATATTCACACCACCACTTGTTTCTTCTGATCTTGATAGCAGGGTGATAGCAATCTTTTCTTCTAGTCTAGTAGGTGGAAAATACTATCTCAATGCAATTTTATTTTGCATTTGTTTTAGTATAAATGAGGTTAAGCATATTTTCATGTTTCAGAGCCATTTTATTTAACTTTCCTTTTTTTGAATTATTCTTCCATTTTTTATTTGTTCCTCTATTTTTACTGTCACATGTTAGAGTTTTTGGTGTCATCTTGTGTTATTCTTCATCTTTTTGGTATTATAGATTAGCCTCACAGAGACTATCCTTTGAATTACAGCCAAAAATGCCAACACCTTTGGGTCTTTAGGTACTCAGAAAACAGGAATTTTGATAAAATAGCTTTGCTTTTCCTCAAGAGGAAATAGGCTACAGAGGCAAAAAAAAGAGAGAAAAGGATGATTTTTAGGGGGAAAATCCTTGATTGTCCTCTGTACATGTGTCCAGGTGACCTCTGTGCTTTTTTATTAACTTTGTCATCCATCCTTCTGTCCAGAGCAGTCCTGTACTTACGCGTCTTTTCAGTTTATTCTTTTTTTTTTTAAAGAGAGAGAGAGAGACAGAGAGAATTTTTTAATATATTTTTTTAGTTTTCGGTGGACACAACATCTTTATTTTATTTTTATGTGGTGCTGAGGAGCGAACCCAGCGCCCCGCACATGCCAGGTGAACGCACTACTGCTTGAGCCACATCCCCAGCCCAGTTTATTCTTTATCTTAGTGAAACATTGACCAAATAATCATAATCATAAGTTATATGGATACATCTTTTGTTGAGAATACAATAAAATCTACCACATTGTGTAATTCTTGGCTGCTTGGGTTTAATAGTTGAAGTACTCTGTCTAGATCACTTCTCTTAAAAAAAGGGTTTATGCCTGCCTTGCATATTTCTATTTCCCCAGTGCAACAATTTTTTGATTGTTTCTGATTTCATATTAAGACTTTTTCTTCATAATTTATTTGAACCCTGATAGCCAAGGAACTTTTATAATGAGATTCTGATAGTGAACTCCTCCTTATGAAATTATTTTTGATCAGTAAATAGCAAAATTTGATGTGGTACATGTGCTCTATTCCTGTGTCTCCATTTTTTTGTCCCCTTCCACCCCATCCCCGCCTTTGTAATGTTTTATATTCCTTTTACACAGAACCAACGAAGGCAACAAAAAATTCAAGGAAAAGTTCTTCATTTGAATGATATCTGTACCATTGACCATCCTGAAGACAATGAATGTGAGGCTGAAATGTCACTTCAGGAAGAAGTAGAAATTAAATCCAACCATATTTCACAAGAGGAAGTTACACATAAAGAATTTTGTGTTAATCAGAAAGATTTGAATGGACAAGAAAAAATGATAGAAAATATAACTGACAATCAAAAGTCCATAGAGGAAATAGATATTAAAAATATCGATATGGATAATGACCTGGAGGAATTGGCATCATCTCCCTCTGAATGTATTAGGAATTTAAATGGTACCTTTCTGAAAGAAGGGAGTAATGGAGAGGTGGACATTTCCAGTGGTTTCAAAAACCTTAACTTAAATGCTGTTCTTCAACCTGATGAAATAGATATAGAGATTCTGAATGACAGTCATACTTCTGGGACAAAAGTATATGAGGTTGTAAATGAAGATCCAGAAACTGCTTTCTGTACTCTTGCAAATAGAGACACTTTGAACACTGATGAGTGTTCAGTTCAACATTGTTTATATCAGTTCACCCGTAATGAGAAACTTCGAGATGCAAATAAACTGCTTTGTGAAGTATGCACACGGAGGCAATATAATGGACCAAAGGCAAATACAAAAGGTATTTAGATTTTCTTACTGTAAATAAAATTAATATGAAGGGGTACATTTTGCACTGTAGAGATGGAGTAGTCTTCTGTTGTGATCTTATCAGGATTTGGATAGCATGAATAAGTGCCTTCTTGTAGGTAAATGTTTCAATGGAAGAATGAAAGAAGAATTTTATTGAGGTGACTAATATTCTGTGACATCACAGCAGCAGTAGGTTAAGTGGGACAGTGTACTGTCCATCACCTTTCTCAAAGGTAGATTATCTCACTGGAATGCAGTCACCACAGCTTCCTGACAGATAGTGTTTCCTTGCATCCATAGCTCCCTGTCGGCATTTGTGATCATCTTTTGTTTCCCTTGCATCCAGGAAGTCATGCTTGAACTTTTTAGCGTACTTATGGGATGTGTCTATTGCAAAGGACTAGAGTGACCATCCTTTTGTACAGTTTCCATCAAATAAGAAACAGACATTGACAGTTCCTCTTCTTTTCCTCCCTTTCCCTTTTTTATTTTTTTAAGTTGGGTAAGTGAGATAGGAAAGGGCTACAAATTCCTGAGGACTTTTACTAAAAGTGGTTGAAGTGTTTTAAAATCCTAGTTTTTAATTTATTGACATGTAGATATAAAAAGGAAACATATTGCTTTTGTGGGAAATTTTTTTTTCCATATAGAATTATTTGATTTGGAGAAGGCAGTGGCAAACTAAGGTCCATAGGCCAAATTTTAGCATCTACCTGTGTTTTTGTGGTATCTGAGCTAAAACATAGTTTGTTTTTTTTTTTAATTTGGCTTTTTTTTTTTGTGGAGGGAAATGCATGAGGCACTTCTAGTCAACCAATTTGATGATGTTCCACTTAAAAAAAAATTTGTGAGAACAAGCATTTGCTGGGATTGAACCCAGGGTCTCATGTATGCTACGCAGGCCCCCCCACCATTAAGCTATACCTGTAGCCCTCAAAAATGTTTTTTATAAGCGAATATTTGTAAATTTTTTGATGAAAGGGAACAGCCATTTCAAACCCTAACAAACCAAAATGTTATATGTCATCTAAAGTAGTTTTGTTCTTCTCTTTAGTAGAGTGCATTCAAGACTTAATTTATTAAATTTTCATTTCATCCATAAAAATTTATGGGAAATTTGTTTTCTATATAAAATATCTAGAAAACATCCTTGGATATTTGCCCCTTGATCCAAAAGCGTAAAATATTTAATATCTTTTCCTTTACAGTTTGCTGATCCTTGCTTTAGATATCTGATTTTATAGCAAACTGAATACTTCAGAAGTCAAAAATAATCTTTCATTTGCTAAAATTTCTCCTTTTCTCTAGGTGAAAGAAAACATGTTTATACCAATGCCAAAAAGCAGATGCTAATTTCTCTTGCTCCTCCTGTTCTCACTCTTCATTTAAAGAGATTTCAGCAGGTACCATTTGTTATCCCAGATTTGTTTTAAGTATATAATATTTACTGTGTTATTGTTTTAATATATTAATATGTTTCTTTGGTTTTCTTTAATTCTGTCTTCAAAAAAATAAGTGTGTGTGTGTGTGTGTATACACACACACACACACACACACACATATATATGAGCAAGTGCTTGTCAGAGAGGAAGAGGCGGCATTTAGGTATAGTTCTTCCTCACTTTTCTTAGAACTCATGCTGCTCTTTTTATAGTACCTTATTTTAACCTTAATTCCAGACTTAAAAAAGGCAGTGTAATACTTAAATCTCACACTCAGGAATTTATAGTTATTTTTCTGTTTTGTGTATGACATTTTATTTTTACTGACTCTTGATAAAAAGATATTGATGCTTTGGACTTGCATCATTTTGGTGACCCAGTCTTTTCTTGCAATAGCAGTGTGACTTTCAAATTCTGTTCTAAACTTCTAATCTGATTTTTCTGGGTGACTGAGGTAGAAACATTCAACCTGGAAGTTGTAATGATCCTGCCACAGCTTCCCTGGTTGCTAAGATTTCAGGCTTGCAGCCATTATGCCTGGCCCAGCTTTCTTAATGTTCTGGGGTGTGGTGTGAGAATGAAAGGGAGAGATACATGCAATTAGCAAAGTGGATCAAAAACAAATCTCCAAGACTGAACCAGGACTAGATGCTCATGTTTGGATATTGGAGGCGGGTACTACTTAACATGTACACCTTTCTAGGGTAAGAATTGAATTTGTTTGTCCTTCTCTTTTAGGCTGGTTTTAACCTACGCAAAGTTAACAAACACATAAAGTTTCCGGAAATCTTAGATTTGGCTCCTTTTTGTACCCTTAAATGTAAGGTAGGTGAGAGTGGTCTTATTTTAAAGCAAATTCTTTAAAGAGAAATCAGATAAATATGGTCGAGTGTTCAGATTATTATACATAGAATAGATGTGAACTTAATCCAACATGTTAGTGATTCTCGGAAAGCCCTGCAAAGTAGACCACGCATCAACTAATATTTAAAGTAAAAGTTAGTAAGATGAGTCAAAATGACATGAGTACTTCAGGCACAAAGAACAACAGGAACAAATGCATAACAGTGTAGAATAGTGTGCAGGGACTGGCAATGTTAGCAGTTCTAGACTAGCTTATAGAAGGTATAGGGAAGTAGGGAAATGAAGCCTGAGAGGTGAGATAGTAATGAAGAGTTTCATGATGAGGAACTTCTTAGTAATGCAAGGAGACCCTGAGGAGTTTAAAGCAATGGGGTGATGAGGTTTTATATATATATATATATATACATAAAACATAGGTTATGTGCTGATATATGAAGACTGGGTTTTAGGAGAGAAATTCTAGAGGTAGTAAGTTGGATTATTGAGTTAGTAAGTAATGAGGCTTATAAAGTAGAGCAGGGGAAGGAGAAGGTGAATATTTCAGGATACAGCAACATTAACCACTGAGAATTGCTTGGTGCTGCAAGGTGAGACAGAGGCCTTTACCTGGATGCTGGTGTGGCACAGAAGCAGTTGACGGTGACTACTGTAGCCTGTATGAACAGGCAGACAGAATGCTATAAATTGAGTTAGGAAATACAAGAACAACAGGTTAGAAAGTGGAGAAAGGACAATGAGTTCAGTTTTGGATACAGTGAGTATCAGATATCTTTGAAATATTCATGAGGTTAATGTCTAGGAAACATATCTGAAGCCCAAGGGCAGAGAGTTTAGGGCTGGAGATATAGGTTTGGAAATCATGTAGGCAGTGATTAGAAGTGAGATGGATTCTCTGATATGTGGATGCTAATTCACAGTAAGGAAAGGGGGAATAGAGATACTTCGGATTAGACAGTGGGACTGAAGGAAAGGGAGAGAGTATGGGGTTAGGAATGATAGTAGAATGAAATGGACACTATTACCCTATGTGTGTGTGTATGATTACACGACCTGTGTAACTCTACATCATGGACAACCAGAAGAATGAGAAGTTATATACTCCATTTATGTATGATGTGCCAAAATGCATTCTATTGTCATGTGTAACTAATTAGAACAAATTTAAAACATTAAAAAAAAATAGTAGTAAGATGGGATCACTTGTGTACTATATAGAGCCTCAAGAAAAAGATCAGGTAGCCAAGGGCAGAGCTTCTGAACATCTGAGTGAACAGGACAAAGGTAGGAGAGGATACTTTCTGTGTGAATTTTAAAATGATGAGAATTTACTTTCCTCCCTCCCAATTAAAATTCTTTAAGGTGTGATTTCAGAGTGGGTGAGTAAATTGTAATTATTATTGTTATCACCACAAGGCTAGGTTACTTTAGCTGGTAAGTGGAAATACCTCTCATTACTTTTGAATACAAGGTCACCAGGAATCCATCTTTTGCCGAAAATACCATTGCCATGTGCTCAGGTTTCAAGGAAAGACTAAGTGTGAACTCAGTGTCAAGAATATCAGAGAAAGGGACTAAAAACTAACAACTAGACAGCATAGAGGTCATGCTATGAATTTTTAAGAATAGCATTGGAACTTCCGTGGGTTATGGAGATCAAGTATGTATATATTATTGGAAGCTTTATTGAAAAGGAAAAGTGGTGGACCATTGAAGATTATTTCTAAAAATCTCTAAGACTTAAGTAGGTTTGTAAGCCTAGAGGAAAATCTAGAAGTTGAAGATATCAGAGGAAGCTAGGAGGGCTGAGGGTTGGAGTTTGGTCTTTGAACGTAAGGGAGAGGATTGTTTCCTGAGAATGGACAACTTGGAGTTGGGTATGCTGTGTCTCAGTTTTTCTGAAGTGGGAGGTGAGGATAGTAAGAGAATAAAAGATTAGAGATAAGGAAGTGAATAGTTGGGACCATAGCTGTAGAGGGCATCCATGGAAGAATCAGGTAGCTCACACATGGTCAGAGTTCTCACACTTTAAATGTGCATAGGAAATCACCTGGGAATCCGACCTACAAAGTGATTTTGTACGGCTGGAGTGGAGAAATACCATCTCCAGATGGTATTTCTAATAAATTCTCAGGTGGTGCCCGCTTTTGCTGTTTCACACACATCTTGAATAGCAAAGTGTATACTGCAAATGGTGATGATGACAATGATGACAAAAGAAGTCTCACAGGCCAGAATAAGAGGAGGACTAGATGATCTTGTTAGATTAAATAGTACAGAGTACCTGAGGTGAGAGTTGAATAGAATTATGGACTGAGACTAGATTAGTAAGATTCTGAAGTTGAACAGTTTTGAGTGACGACCAAAGCCCAGAATCTAGTTCTGACCATGATGAGTAGCTAAAATGGAATGGTAATGAAAATTCTGTGAGGGTTCCAGTGAACACAGAAATATCTAGAAAGCTGACAGGATTTAGAATGAAGTAAAAAGTTCTTCGGTGAATATGGAGGCATAAAGATGAATGTAGTGATTGTGATACTCTAAGGATTTTTGAGAGTAACCTGTAATTGGCCCTTGTCTTGAAGAATGCTTGTCCTTATTGTTAGCCCTATAGCATATGTGTTCTTTAAAGAAAAAGGAAAGTGAGTACTTGAGAGTTTGTGCTTCTGTCCCTAGAGGGCATCTAAAAATGTGAGTTGGTTTTTGGTACACAAATGACATTGCTGTTTTGTTAAGGACTTGCAGCTCATGGCTTATGGTTTCTACAGGAGGGAAACAGAAGTGCCAACTTTCTGGGGGGGTGGGTGGTGGGTGGGAACGCACAACAACAAAGCAAACAAAAAAAATCCCAGAAGTATCTGTAGGCTAAGAAGAAGTAAGGGAGAAAATAATTCAGACTCATGAATAATTTCTACACTCTGAAAGGATGACTAGTGTAAACTTACCTTGCCAATGACACCTATACAAATGGAACTAGAACTAACTTTTGGATTCTGTTCATTTTTAAAGAATGTTGCAGAAGAAAACACAAGAGTACTATATTCATTATATGGAGTTGTTGAACACAGTGGTACCATGAGGTCGGGGCATTACACTGCCTATGCCAAGGCAAGAACTGCAAATAGTCATCTCTCTAATCTCATTCTTCATGGAGATATTCCACAAGGTAAGTTGTCCTGGAAAATGTAGGCATTAAGCAGATTATGGCAAAATCAGAAAATAATCAATTTGAATTTTCCCATTTATATTTAACTTTATATTTTCTTCTTGACAGATTTTGAAATGGAAACAACCAAAGGGCAGTGGTTTCACATCAGCGACACACATGTGCAAGCTGTGCCTACAGCTAAAGTTCTAAACTCACAAGCATACCTCTTATTCTATGAGAGAATATTGTAACAACAAAAAAGTGCTTTCTTTGGAAATGCATTTGTGGCTTTTTTTTAATGGCTGTTATTAGTAACGATAAAAAATTAAAGACTACAAATCATGTTCACTTAATACTAAATACCTGACAGAAGAAATCATGTTTATTTAAGTATCAAAGGGAAAGCACTTAAAAATTCAGTGAATTTTTTTTTTTTGTATTGTCATAGTGGTTTTTTTTTGCTTCATTTCTGAAAAGTAAATTTGAATTATTTAATTCCTCTGTGCTTAATGTTTGGGTGGTGGATCATGACCCATTAATAAACTGACTTCCTCCAAAACTTGTTTTATTACTTAGATTTTTAAGTTACATTGACTGCACTAGATAACATTAAATATTTGCTGTTATCAAAGTATAACATAGGACAAACTTAGACTGTAGTTTGGTACCAAATCCTCTTTTATGCCAGCATGTCAGAGAAAGTCTACAAATTGTCCTTCTAAAAAATTCCTTTTTTGATCCTTCGGTTCATAAGCGTGATGATTGGGTATTCACGCTCTTGTGTGAGATGTGCCTCCCTCTAAACCTTGTTACGACATTGGCACATTACCCGTCTGACGTGAAAAAAAAAAAAAATTCCTTTTTTACCCAAGTTAGCCAATACCAGGTTAGTTACAACCAGGTTTAGAACATCAAGCCTGCCAGAACTTCTTGTATAGTTCAACATTTTAGAATTTTATGAATAAGAAAACTTTGCATCATTCCTAACTCTGATGAGTTTATGTAAAAACCAGTCAACCAAACTGTTTTCTAAAATAAATACCTTTGAGCTGGGTGCAGTGGCTTAGGTCTGTAATTCCAGTAACTCGAAGCTGAGGCAGGAGGACCACAAATTCAAGGCTAGCCTCAGCAACTTAGGGAGACCCTGTCTCAAAATATAAAAAGGGCTGGGGACGAGGCTAAGTGGTAAAGCACCACTGGGTTCAATTCCCAGTACCAAAAAAAGCAAAAATCCTTTGAAATACCAAAAACAATATAATTCTGAACTATTAATCAAGGGCTGATGTCACCAATACATGTAATAGCACATATCCTATAAAAATAAATGAAATCTTTTTGTACATGGTCTTTGTTTTTTCAACATTCCTTACTGATCTTAGAGGACCTGCTTTAAGAAAATCCACTTGCTTACTATGGAATTGGCGGACTTTTCCCATCAAGGGCCTGATAGTTAAACTCTATGATTTTGGGGCTCATTTGGTCTCTCACAAGTACTCAACTCTGCCATTCCTTTGTGGAAAGTGGCATCTGACAACATGTGACTGCATAGGCGTGGCTGTACTGAAATTTAAAAAACCAGGCAGCAGGCCATGCAAGGGCAGTTGGTCACTACACACATTAAGTGACTTAAGTCCCACAGCTAATGTGATAACTCCATTAAGTTGAGTAACAAATATAATGGTAATGTTTGAAAATACTGTTTTATATTTCTTTTGAGAAAATAGGCAAATGATGAAAGGGTTTGAATATGTATTTCTCAGTTTATAAAAATACAAGAAACACATAAGTTCTAGATTATGATCTCCAATCTATTTTAATGCACCTGTGTCAATCAATTTCATTGTAGAATTGCTGGGGTTTACAAGATTGAAAAAAATTCAGTAGCTGGTCACCAGACAGGCTTTTACAGTAAAACACATTTATTTTATCATTCAGCCAAGGATACAAACACAAAACACTTCTTAATTTAAGGAGAATAAGAAAACCATTAGGCAATTCCTAGTGAACTACTTCAAATACAACCTTCACCTATAGTAAAAATTAGGCTATTCAGTCATTTTGGTCATCATCCCAGTCTTTCTTTCCACTTGGAGGCTTGGGCCCACCAGCTGGTTTTGCCATGATGATCTGTAAAACACAAAAGTGCTTATAAATTCAAACTTCACAAATTAAGAATATTTTTCTATTGGCCAATTATAAGATGGAGCAATCCTCTTAATATAAGCAATCAATTATCTATATTGCATATGAAACACCACAGCACAAAGTTTTCTAGCTTCCTTGTTAAAAATTATAGTGAACTTTCGGCAGTGAGAAAGCTTCCTACTTTTGTGGGTAAAAACAGCAAAAAAAAAACCTCACACAGATTAGTAAAGGACATTCCAAAACAAGCACTTTGATAACTTAAGCAAACGTGAAAGTTTTTGCATGCATCCCTGGAATAAACCAGTCAGTGTGGCACCTGATTTGTTATTTATATATGAGGTTCGTCTTGCCAACCATCTTTATCCCAATCTCCTTGTGGTTTAGGAGCTTTAGGTCCACCTGCCAGTTTTGCCATTATAATCTGAAGTAGTTGATAGATAAAAGTTTAACAATGAAACTTTCTCCTAATGAGAACCAAATAGTAACAAGTGTCTGTTCATAAACAAATCCAAGCACCAGTTCGCTGGTAACTAAAAAAAATAAGCCACAAGCCTTTCTTCAGCTTATCTAAAAAAAAATGTGCTAAACCAACATTTTACCCAAGTACAGTATAATGATTTCATATCTAAAGATTTTATTTAAAAACAAAAATGGTGGCAGTGGCTGTGGGCTCAAATAAGTTTGGGGGAAGCTAAAATAAACTATTAAGCTGAACTAATATTCATTGCTTTCCCAATTTATATGAAGAAATCATCCTGTACAACATTAAGGGGTTTGACTTCTATTTTAAGCAACATGAACATGAAACATCTTTACCACAACTCCAGTAGATTTCACACCTGTTTTCAGAAGCCTCTATGAGAAGTCTAAACCTAAGGGAGCTGGGGATGTGGCTAAGTGTGGAGGGTGCTTGCCTACCAAGTGGCTCTTGGTTTGAACCCCAACAACATAAAAATAACAGTAGTTCCCAAAATTTTATTAGGCATCACCATTACATGAAGAACTTATTAAAGCTGCATGTTAGACCTCCTTCAGAGTTTCTGATTCAGTGGGTCTGGAGTAAGGTCTGAGAATTATTAGCAAGACCTTAGGTGATGTTGATGTTATCTATTTGGGTACTATACTTCCTTTGAACATAAGTTGAAAGAGATATTTGAAAAAAGATCAATCCAGCTCCTATTACATCAACTACTGCTCATAATAAAGTCTCTTTCGAGAATATATACTGCATAAAATCAAGCACAACTGACTTTTAAAGATGGTAATTATTCTAATCCCAGCTTGGCTAACACAGGTGGATGGGTTCTTCATATATCTTTATGTGCAGAGTGCAAAAACCAAGGGCACATACCAATAACATCCCTACTATCAAAATTTAGGAAATTACTTTGTGATAAAAGTTTATAGTCTTACCTGGCATTCAGAAAAGTTCCTCAGTTAAGGAACTTCCACTATCAGGATTTCTTTTCACCACATATCTTAGTCTACTTAATCTGTTCCTGTCCCCTTCTACTTTGGGTTCTCCTTTTAACACATCATTTCTAGAATAAACAATTCCTTAGGCTTCCCTCAACTTGACTGAAAAACCAATCATATTCTTTACTGAAAACTACCTCCCTGATAAGCAGATTCAGAATCCTCTTATTAACAAATCTGGCACAACAAAACAGTTTTTGCTTGGTACTGGGGACTGTTAGACAAGTGTTTTACTGCTGGGCTATATTCCTAGCCCTTCTACTTATTTCTAATAAGGTGAAAGTGGATACCCAGTTCCATTTTTGCTCATCCTCCAGTTATGAAAGAGTCCTTATTTAAATATATATATATATTTTAAATTTTGTTATAATTATTAACTGTCCATACTGTGCTTAGAAATAAGTCTAGTTGTCTATTAATATTCACCTAGGATTTCTTCTAAGTTTAATTTCACATGATTTTTTACTTACTGTATATATTCTGTGTCCCTAACAAATACAACTTTATATAGTACAACTATAAAGTATTTATAAATAGTTCAGTGGTTAATAATTACTTTGAGAATTTTGTGGCAAATGGATTTAAGATTACTCTATTTTTCAGTATAATTTAAAACTACAGGAGAAGAAAAAATTTTTAAAATGGGGGATGGGATTTGAACATCTAAGGTATGAGGGGAAGGAAACACTCCTTCGAAAACAAAGAACTATGCTATATTCTAGTTCTGTGAAAACATACTTGTTGAACCATATTGAAACTACCATTTTTAGATACCAAAGTTTCACTTTTGCTTACCTGATCCACTCTAAGTACAGTAACCGCAGCATTAGTAGCCAATTTTATAGCCCAATATTTTCCCAGATATGTATCTAGAATACCAGCTTCCAACATGTCCTTTACAGCAGGAACTTCAGCCTGTCAACACAAAACAGTTTCCATCCTTTCATTTTAAATTCTTTTCAGTGAAAGTGCTTATATTCAAAACCAAAAACCTGCATGTGTGACTCCTAAGTACCAGACAAGTAACCATGTGTAAATACTATTCCATACACACTATAAGAGTATCAATAAAAGGAAAACTAAAAATTTCTTCTATCAGATAAAATGAAAACTAATTTTTAAAAATTTTAAATTACAATTCTTAATACACCATTATACAATAATTTATCATATTTCTGACTATATATAAGGTATGTTGACACCAAATTCACATCTTCATACATGTATTTTATATAATGATGAGGGTCTCCTTTCACCATCCATGCTATTTTCCTTCCCCTGAAAACTAATTTTTAAGAAAGCAAATTGTTCATAAATCAGTTCACTATTTCTGATTTTCCCCTTATATGTACTGTTTCTATTTTTAGGTTGTGCATTCACAAAGCAATTTAAGTTCATGTTTTTTAATCAAATACCTCAATGTCTAGTCCAACATTTTTATTTCCTTCTTGGTGAACTGCATAAAGTTTAGAGATAACTTCATTGGCCTTAACTCCAGAGTTCTCTGCCAGTGCCCGGGGAATAGCTTCAAATGCCTCGGCAAACTTCTTAATAGCATACTGCTCAAGTCCAGGACATGTCTAAAACAAAATGTGTTTATTATTGCTTTTTATTCAAGCAATGGGAAGAAAGTTATACAGTAAAAGCCATACCTCTCCATATGATGTGATTTGTTTGGCTAATTCAATTTCTGTTGCTCCACCTCCAGGTACAAGACGTTTATCCTGTAAGTTGTCCAAAAAGCCAAAAAAACAAAAAACAAAAACATTAAAAAGGTAGTTTCACTAATCTTTTCAGATTCCAATACTCCATCAGACTAGTTTTCAACCAGTCATTGTTATTCAAAATCTACTTATAAACTTGGTAAAAATGAACGATCAGACAAATTTTCTTTCTGCAGTATCTAGTACATGAAAAAGGAAGACCAAAGTGAAGAAAGGGGACAGCTCTTTTTTATCTGCATTCTAGGCACTGACAACAATGCTTTAGCAACTGAAGTTAGTACATTAAAACAAAAAACCACAAACTATTTAACGGTGAAGAAATAGCCTTGCTTTGCTATTAAGTCCTTCATATGATCATTTTGAGAAACTATCGTATTCTTCAGCAATTGAAAGGTAAATCGTTGGTAAAAATCCACCTGTCTCAGCCTCCACAGTAGCTGAGATTATAGGCAAGTACCACCATGCCTGGCTAAACCACTCATTTTGAAGAAGCACCAACTACGTTTTTAAGACATTAGAGATTACTAAAGAAGCTTCTTGTTAATACTGACCCTTGTGAGAACTTTGAAAGTATTGACACCATCATCTACTGCCCTTTCTACATCATCCATCAGATTGTCTGTAGAACCGCGAAGTACTATGGTAGAAATGGCACCATCTTCTTTTTCTGTCAATAAACATATTCAGGGATTAAGTAAAAGAAAACAAACAACTTACATTTGCACAAACATAGTTTGCCATTACTACATACCATGCTTAAAAACAACCACCTGTGTGTCTCCAACTTCTGAGAGGTAAACATTGTCACAATGTCCCATTTCTTCAAGGACAGGTGGAGTCTGTAAAAAAGAGATTGTTATAATAAAATTCAAATAGATGCAACTATCTTTGATTGTTTCTCAAAATACGTACCAATCTAGGAAGAGCTGTAGCACCAACTGTTTTACACAGTCTTCTGAGATCCCATTTTGAGTTCAGCCTTAAAAAAAAAAAAA